GACGTGTCCTGAAGCCACAGGCCACGTCCCCAAGGGACGCCTTGGAGGACTCGGGATATTGGGGGATGGAAGGGCCCTCAAGTCGGGGAATTGGGGGACGGAGGAGCCCTCAATTCAGGTGTGTTTTTGCCACTGACTCGGATTCAGTGACTCTGCTGCCAACCCATCAGGTTTTGCTGGCCACTCAGTTCTGTTAATTGTCTCGTGTTGAGTTTACTGTCTGTCTTTATTGTCCAGCTCATCAGGTTTTGCCAGTTACTCAGTTCTAATCTTTGCCTTGGACTCGTGTTAGACGTTTACTGTGTGTCCTTGTCTGTGTCGTGTTTATATTGTCCCTGTCCCTGTTTGAGTAACTCCCATTATGGGACAAAGTCATTCCACACCTCTGTCCCTGAAGCCTTTCCTGGTCCCTGCCCCCACTCCGACCCCTTCCTCCACGATCCTATAACTCAAACCTTCTGCTCCTCCCCCTCTTCCCTCCATTCTCCCTGAGTCACAAGAAACGGGAGCTGCATGGTGGAACCCAAACTCCCCAGACAGTAACTAATCTCCCAATCTGGGGTCGTCAGACCCAATCTGAAGGGGATGCTCCCCCAATCAGTTTGTCTGAAGGGAAGACCCCAGTTGGCTTGGGACCAGCACACACTTTCAGGTTTTTTTGACAATCTGAAAAGGAAGTCTATGTCTTTGTGTGTCTTTGTGTGTCTTTTTGTCTGTGTCTCTGTTAAGTGTGATGACATTGTTTTACTTTGGACCGATGCAGGAACATGCTGGGCTTTGCAGACCCCTACCTAGGGCTCAGTTCCAACTAGAACTACCTAGAACTCAGTATCCAAATCTGTCTCTGCGATGAAAGGAACAATGGGATTAAAGAAGAGTCTATTCTACAAATCAAGAATAGACCAATAAGAAATTCTCTTAATAAATTAACAAAAAGAAAAACTCCAAGTGCCCAGGACCGATGCAAACTTCTGGAGCTTTACTTCCCCAGTTATTTTCTAAAAGTTCTCATCCCACAAATAGCACTTGACTGGGGTTCAGTGATAACTCAAGAAAGAGGAACCACGCATGTGCTTTCAAGAAACAAGGAAATCTGTGAAGCACAGAGAGGTAGGAAAAGACCATGCCAAGTGGCAGGGAAGGGCCCAGAGAAGACGGGAGCACAGCTGAGAGCAGCCAGCAGCAAAGGTATCCACCAAGATGGTGGCAGGGGAAAACATAAAAAAAAAAAAAAGTCACACCCATTAGGATGGCTACTATCAAAAAATCAATTACAAAAAATAACAAATCTGGGTGATGATATAGAGAAATTGGAACTCTGATTTGCGTCTTTGTTGGTGGGAATGTAAAATGCTGCAAACCACTTCAGAAAAGAATAAGGTGGTTCCTCAAAAAGTTGAGAATAGAATTATCACATGATCCAGCTATTCTATTCCCAGGTAGCTCCCCAAAAGAATAAAAAAATAGGGACTCAAAACATATTTATACACCTATTTTCATACTAGCATCATTTCCCATACCAATAGGTCAAAACAACCTCAATGTCCATCACTGGATAAATGCATTAAAAAAAATGTGGTCTAAACAGACAATGAAATAGTATCTCAGCCTTAAACAGGAAGGAAATTCTGACACATGCTACAACTTGGAGACACTTTGAGGATATTATGCTCAGTGAAATAAGCCAGTCACAAAAGGACAGAGTATATGATGCCACTTAACATGTGATTCAGAGACAGAATGGCAGATGCCAGGGGCTGTGGGAAGGAGGTAATGCGGAGTTGCTTAATGGGTAGTAGTTTCCATTTTGCAAGATAAAGAGTTCTATGAATGAATGATAGTAACCAAGGCACAACAATGTGAATATAACTTAACATGAAACTTAAAAATAAGTAAGGTGGTAAAATGATGTTATGCATATTTACTAGAATTTTTAAAAATTAACAATTAAAGGAAGAAATAGTCAGGAAAAGTTATGGGCAATTAAACTCCAGATATTTTTGAGAAAACCTTTTGAACAAGGATCACTCTGTTGTTCATTTGGCTTCTTGCAAAAGAAAATAAGCAAAACACATCAACACTAAATATGGTTCTCCCAGGAAAAGAAATCAGAAATATATGAGACAAACGTCCCAAGACAAAGACTGGGGTACTTACTATGTGAGAAACAGATTGGGCCTGCCCACTTTATGGAAAATGCCCTACCAGGATTCCGATGGGCAGGGGCATCCCCCAAAGATCCAAGAGGAAATCTTGCCTTCTGTACCATCTGACTTTTATGGGCCTTTTGGAAGGACAGGATAATAGTGACCCTTCTTCTTCTCTCATGCCAGAGACTCCTTAAAATCCCCTTTCTATCTGGGTATGGAACCACCATTTGACCCAGCTATCCCTCTCCTCAGTCTATACCCAAAAGACTTAAAAATGGCATACTGGGACACAGCCACATCAATGTTTATAGCAACACAATTCACAATAGCTAAACTGTGGAACCAACCTAGATGCCCTTCAGTGGGTGAATGGATTAAAAAAAATGTGGCATATATATACAATGGAATTTTACTCAGCAATAAAAGAGAATAAAATCATGGCACTTGCAGGTAAATGGATGGCGTTGGAGAAGATAATGTCAAGTGAAGTTAGCCAGTCCCCAAAACACAAATGCTGAATGTTTTCTCTGATATAAGGAGACTGACTCATAGTGGGGTAGGGAGGGGGAGCAAGGGAGGAATAGATGAATTCTAGATAGGGAAGAGGGGTGGGAGGGAAAGGGACAGGGGATCAGCAAGGATGGTGGAATATAGTAGACATTGTTATCCAAGTACATGTATAAAGACACAAATTGCTGTCAACATACTTTATATACAATCAGAGATACGAAAAATTGTGCTGTATACGTGTAATAAGAATTATAATGCATTCCATTGTCATTTATTTTTTTTTTAAATCAATAAAAAATTATCAAAAAAAAAAATCCCCTTTCTATGAACCACCAGGTTATCCTGAGAACCAGAAACCCAATGGACGTTCAGAAGAAGCAACCCAACAGAGAAGAGAGTCTGCAGAAAGCTCAGGTGCTGGGGTACAGCTCAGGGGTAGAGTGCTTGCCTAGCATGTATGAGGCCCTGAGTTCAATCCCCAGCATTGCAATAAAGTAAAACTAAAATAAAAAAGTTGTACATGAATAAAGGTCAGCCCATGACAACTTGAGTTCAAGCTCCCCTCTGAAACCACAGTGGAAATCAGTGTGAGCCTTTTCATTTCCATTCACCTCACAGGTCTAATAGACAAGATTAGGCAGAAAACCATGCAAGGTTTTGTTGGTTTTTCTGTTTGTTTCATCACAATCTGCCTTGCATTTTTTTCCTAGATAGGAACTTTTGATTTTTTTTCCCAAAAAATTAACAAGCCCTACCTGTGCCCCCTTTTCACAGATTCACATAGAAGGGGGCTACTGCTGGGGACTGTGGATTGCTGCCGGGCTCTGTCATGGCCTGGCCTATTGCAGAGGGATGGAATTGCCCAAGAGACAAAAGCATGCAATCAGGCAAGGTGTCATTTAGCAGGAGGAAAATAAAAACACTCCAAGTTTGGGGCTAGGTCTTGGGACATGAAGAACTCTGTCTCTGAAGGTCAGTCCCCTATAGCAAACATCAATGGTTGTCAACCAAGGTGCCACAAGGTGGTAAAAGCTATCTTTAATGTTTCATGCAGCCTATTGGAACCTGGATACCAGCAGAGACATTTTCATACAGGTTCCTTGAAAAGTCATGTGACTGTGTTGAAACTGAGGTCTCTCACGTGGCTGTGGCCATGCCGGTTTTGTCATTCTGATCAAATTCTGACTGGCCATTGATAATGTCAATGACATACCTGAGATGAGATTTTCCCCCCTCCCATTTTGTTATATGTCTTTAATTAATTTTTTTAAAAGGGAATTATATCTCATTAACACTCATCCATTGCAGTTTGAAAGGCAAAATCTTGCAAGACCCTACGTTCACGAAGGCAGAAATAAAAGGATCCTTAGGGGTGAAAAGTTTGGGAAGCACCCCTGAGTCTCCCCTCCTCCTCCACAGACATGCACAATTCCAAGGGAATAGATGGGCTTCCCTTGAGCTGGAATGGAGCAAGCCTGTTAAGTGAGGAGACTCGAAGAGAGATGGTGTAAATTAACTGCATCTGGTGAGGTGGGGTGAGAAGGGAGAGGAGATAATTAGTTGACATTATAGGAACTAGGGCAAAGAAGAGCGTTCTATATTTACTCAGAGGAAATCTGAAATAGACTACTTTGCACCCATTTGGTGCTCCGTGAGGGATCGTGTGGCAGATGTTGAACCCAGGGACCAGAAGAACAGATCAGCCAAACCCCTGGGTGATGGAGGCGTCCCTCCCACAAACAGAAACCTGACTTCCTGCCCCTTTGCTTCTGAAAATGAAGGCGAGAAGGCGAAGGCATGCCAAAGAGACATCCAGGAGCAGTGAGACAAGGCTGTGGTCAGGGAACAATATCTCCACACAAAAGCCTGACAATAAGGAAGGTGAACAAATGTGTGGTTTATAATAAAATGAGTTCTCTTAAAATTCAATCCTGGCCAGTTTATGGTACCCTTTGGTATGTATGTTCCACATGTAGACGGGTAACATTTCAGAAGTAACACATATTTCAAGTGATGCAGAGGCATCACTGGGTAGTTTTATTGTACATAGAACAGTAAAAAATAAATGCCACAGTCACATAAAACTCCATAACACAGCCAAGATACAGTTTCCACCTTCTTGGATGAATTGAAGGCATTCCAGCACACACTATAAAAGCACCTACTATGAAATCTTTTCTCTCCATAGACGCAAAGAACCACTTTCTTGGGTGCGTGTAACATGTGTATTGCCTCAGAGGAAAACATAAGCATGTCCAGCTGTCTCCATGGGCGCAGGTGACATGTAGTTCTTTAAAGACCTGCTTCTCAGTACAGATCATTAGGCTGTGTGCTCGTAAGATGTAAGGTGCGGGCTAGCACTTACAGGTTTGCAAACACTTCTAAAACTGGTTTATGCAGTGTTTATTACAAGAAAAGATGTAACAGTCATGAGGTTAGGGCACCGTCTTGAAAGAGGTGCCAGAGGGAGTGGGGAAGACTAGATGAAGAGCCACAAGCTCACTCTACATGCTGGAAAGGAAAGGGCCAGCCTCCAGCCGCCCTCCAGCTCCCCCAGAGGATCCCAAGGACATCCTGGGAAGTAGAAAACGATGCAATGTGCTATCAGCAGATCCAACTCATCAGGCAGGACAGGGAGCGAGGAGGAGGCTGTGGCCATGGAGGGTCACGAGCCCAGCAGTAAACACAGCTGTGTTCTAGTGTCGGCTCTGCTCCACCAGCTGTGCTGCTGTGGGCAAGTCGTGCCACCACTCTTGGGCTCAGTTTTTTCAAATATAAAGTAAAAGACGAATGACCCCAAACAGTCCTTATAAGTCTGTATACTTAAGCTTGTCTGCACTTCCAGAAATACCCAAGGAAACCCCAGTCGGCTCCATCAAATGGCAAAAGCTCCATACATATCCGACAGTTTCTATTTGCCTATTGTCCTCTTTCAGGCATCAGCGAACACTGAAAAGCTGCCATTGAGATTTTGGTCACCTCCCAGCAGCACCCTCGGGCCTGTTACTACATACACTGCTGCAGAACAGAGATGCTGAGGGTTTTGTCCAAGGTCAGAAGCTAGGACAGGACCAGAATCCCTGCTTCCTCAATTCCTACAGCTATGCTATACTTTCCACGAAGAAACCAAGCTGGCTTTCTGGGAAGAATGCCAGAGGTTCCATTCTCCCAACTGAGAATTCATTGGAATATTGGAATAACAACTTTGGAGACTGTGGTCTCTCCAATCCATTTCAGGACCTGGCTAGAAACATGAAAACCCAAAGAAAGAAGCAATGGGGAATTATTCCATTTTTTAATGAAAGAGAAAAAATTAGGGGTGGGAATATGGGGTTTCTTAAAAATTACATGATTGCTGGAAGCTAATTTGGTATTTTTTTTTTCCATTGGTTTGTGAGTTCTGTTTCCAATCACAAAAACAGACAGCTGAGGATGCCTAAATCACATCTCAGTGAATTTGCATCTTGTCCCAAAGAATCTTTCCCATTCTGATATATCAGAGACCCCAGAACGTGGTCCTCTGTGGTGGAAGAGAATCTTCCTCAGTGCAAGAGAGAACTTGTCATAAGCCCCTACACTGAAGTCTAAATGCCTGGGCTTCAAGCTCCACGGTCACTAAGCATGGAAAAGGATGCCACTTAACATGGGGTGCACTGCCTCTTCTAGAAAACGGACAGAGGCCATACCCTGCCAGTACAGATGGTAGCCTGTCCCCTCCTTTACCATATACACTCCTTGTTAGGCTGAAGTCATTGCACCTGGAAAAGAATCCAGTGGAGATTTAAAGATGTGTGTTCTAAAAGGAAGGTCAAGACTCCTTCTGGAGGAAGCCAATCAGCAAGAGGACACCCTTGCTATTATACCAACTAAATGCCTTGGAGAGAACATGAACACAGCCTTCCAGGACAGCACAAGTGGTCGGTACTCAGGGTCGAGACTCGTGAAGGAAAGAAACCAAATATGATCTACAAGTCCAGTGTTCCCCTACCTGTCGATGATGACAGGGTCTGAAGGAGTCTCGTTTCGGTTTCCACAGCTTTTCTTTTCACAACATCGACTGTAGATGGGGAGAAAAGCAAGAGAGTAAAAGAATCTTGTTATATATTTAAAAAAAATAGTTCATTGAGCATACAAAGGTGAGAATGTTCACAAAAAATGAACGTGTCCAAGGTATAAGCTGCTTGAGGGCAAAATTTGTGACCATGTTTTATTTTTAAAAAAAAGAAAGAAAGAAAGAAAAGAAACTTGAACCTGAATCTGAAGCCAAAAACATATTCAAAATACAATCATTCACATATTCTCACTCTAGGACTTACAAACTGGCTAATCCGCCACAAATCACAACTTTCCCAAGAGCTGTATTTGTAACTGAACCACGGATGGTTAGATTTTAAGTTCTCCAAGGTCTCTTCCAGGCTGGTGTTCAATGATTTTATGATTGCATATATTAGTTCTTTTTTATCCCAATAAATATTTGGAGAAAGCAGAAGAAGAAAAATGTATTAAATAAACCACAAGCAGGGCTGGGGATTAGCTCAGAAGTAGAGCACTTGCCTAGCATATTTGAGACCCTAAATTTGGTTTCCAGTATCACACACCCACCAAAAAAATAGACCATGAGTTGCTGTTTGGATGATCATAAATCTTACTGATATAACACCTTTCTCTGGAGAAGTTGGTGTGCTTTGTGAACAATTTATTCATTCATTCACTTCCATCATTTCCCAAAGACAAAGGAAGAAGAGCAGAACTCTGGTGGACATTTCTACATTAGAAGAAAATGAGGCAGGGAGCCAGGGTACAGTCTCTCCAATAATTTTTACCAGAACAGAAATGGAACTTGACCAGATGTCAGTCCCATCCTAAAAACGATTTCCCAACACTTCCCCCTTGCAAAGTGCTGGGGACCTGGGTGATCCATCAATATTGAGAGAGGATCCCCCAAACCAGTTAGAACAGAAGAAAGAATCCAAAAGGACCTGAGAGTGAGCAAAATTCTCCAATCCAAAGTATCTGCTCAAAATACAGAGACAAATCTGAGAAAGGAATGAACGCCACACTGCCCACCTGCAACTATAGCTTATTAGGGCCTCAGACCTTAGAATACCTATTGGCTCATTTCAGATGCATTATCCACTATCAACTGTAGTTGATTTAGGGTGGAACCTCAATGTGGCTTACAAGAAAGCCATGGTCACCCAAATCAGGTGGAGAATACGTCTAAAATTAACAATAACCCAGGTACCCATGACTGCTGCCTTTCCCAGGCTGGATCCTCTGTAGCTTAGGGTTGTGTAGTGCTGTAGAAAAATTGCTGACCTGGGAATCAGGGCTCTGGCATCTAACTCCTCACTAACCAGTTGCATGAATTCAGTCAGATCTCTAATCCCTCTGAGCTTATGAAGAAAGAAAATGAAAATGTTGGATTAGGTTATCTCTAGAGTCCCTTCTAGCTTTACGTGTAGGAGGCTATGGAATTCCTTGAGCACCCTTGGAAACCGATGGGGTAAGGAAAAATAGGGAGCCCTATGGCAGCCAGGACCCAAAGGCCGGCCCCAGGCCAGTCACCGATTTGCTTTGTGGCTCTCTTTGGGACTTCCAGCCTCTCTGATCCTCCACAGAATGAAACATAAACAAACAAATCAATATTTTAAAACTTTTCAAGCACATCTTTCTCATTCAGGGATGCGTAATTTAGTTAGTGAACAATTCTACCACCTTTAGAAAGTAAAACACACCTGAAGGAAGCCAAAACATTTCCAGCAAATGGGCTCAATGAGGTTTTAAGAAATTTAATCAAATTAGTAGAAAGTAAAATAAAATTTGTCTCGACTTTCCTAAATACCAGAGTTTGCCATTGGGACTTTCTGAAATAATATTTGGCCTTTGAAATTATATTAGGTCTTAACTTTTAAAATTTCAATCTATCCCAAGATTAACACCAATAAAAATGCTGGCCAGCTGCACTCCCACCCCGCAGAGCCCTTGTCTCTCCTCCCAACCCCCACCCATTTCCGGCTCCCACCTCTCGGGATCCTGGAGCATTGCTTATGTCAGTGTATACCTTAGCAGCTCAAGGCAAACCACTTTTCTAGCAACACAATTTCAAAAGACCCACACATGCTAGTTACCAGAAGGCCTTCAAGCCAGACTCTCCTTTGACATCACCAGCTTGTCAACCTAACCCCAAATATGTGTGCAATGTGGGTACAATTTAATTACACGAGCACACATTGTCAGAATGTGCCTGTCTGTTCCGTTTGGGCAGGAATGATTCTGAGGAGGCCAAGTAAGTTTGCAAAATTGCTCAGCTGAATTCAGCTGCTTTCCATGGGGATTTCCTCTGGAGGAAAAGAAAAACAGATAAAAATGTAACCCTGGTGCCAGCGAAATACAAAGTGGAGAACCAACTCAGGGAAGTAAATGATACGCAAAGGGAGAATGCAGGGAAACTTGAGGACCCCATCCTCTATTTTCCAACAGTAATGTATTTCAATATAATCGCTAATGTTAATATGTAGCACAGAAAAAGATGACAAAGATGGTTACTTGGCTATTGAACTACAATGATAGTAAAAGCATAAAAATACCCGATCCCCAGAACCACACCAAAAAAAAAGTACAAAAGTAATAGGATCTGTTATATTTGCCCTATTTGATCCCCTCTTAAAACTTCTAAGTTAGTCAAAGCAAAGCCCTTTTCTCTTTAAGAAAAGTTCTCATTAATATGTTTTACTTGTTCTTTATTTTGTTCCTTAAATGACATGCGGTTCTCAGGTCAGCATTATTAATAACACAAGCAGAGAGACAAGGAGAACCCATGATGTTTAGGAAACCACACTCTGCAAACAATATGGATCTGGGGTCCCTGAATTAACCTAAATGACAAACTCAACCCTGCCTTCCCTTTGCTCTAGAGGCATTGCCAGAACGGCCAACTTTGGGCTCAGCTCTTTGAGTTAAAGGGCTCTTAAGGTTCATTTTCAACCTTCAAGTCACTAAGGTTCCAGAGAAGTGTTTCCTTTCACTGACAATGACTGTAAAATAGGAAAATGAATAAATAAATAAATAAATAAATAAAAGAAGCAAGCAGAGAAAAGGAAACTGAACTTGGCCATAGGTTGCAATTGTGTTTCGAACTACCCCAGAGGGGTTGGGGGGCTCCTCTTTGCTAAGGAATGAAATGAAAGCTGGTTCTCTGTGTCTCTGTCTGGCTTGTTTTGTTTTATTTTATTCTAGTACTCATTTGGAGACCCTTCTACTTGAAACACTCTCAATTTGCTTACAGGATGCTTTCCTCCTCCCCATCTCCACATGGTGTCTTTGAAGAGGTTAAGAGGAAGAATAAGTCAAGCTGGGGGGTGGGAGGTGGGAGAATATGAAAAAAAAAAAATCATCATGAACCAGAATCTCACCTGCATTTTTCAGAAAGAGAAAAAAGAAAAAGATTTAAAAAAAAATGTCTAGGGAAGAAAATAAGAAGCACCCCAACCCTGGACAGAGGGTGTCCAGTCAGCCCTATGGCTCTTGATAAGTGTCTAAATTCACACCATCTGGCCGATAAAGACACTGGCCCCACTGCCTGGCTGGCCCATCTGATTAGGGCCCTGTCTAGCCTGCGCCTTGTGGCGAAAAGTCACAGCTGTGGGGTTTGCTAGCGCTCAATACAACTCTGTTATTAGCCAGCTATAGGCCTTGAGACGACTTCTGTTCAAATTATAATATCTTTTAACCCTCTGAGCATTGAGGGCACAGGGGTGGCTGGCAGCAGCATAACAACTAGATTTCTCCTTGCTAATAATTGGCAAAATGAACTAAAAGCAAAGCAGAGAAGGGGGAGGAAGAAGTTATTCCTAAACAGATTTATTTTTGTCCCTTTGCTTGTTCCTCCTAAATAATAATAATAGTAAAAATAATAAAGTTAAACACCAATTTAGAAACATTTTACTAAAGGTTATAGGATTATGGGACATAAAATCATTCCAGCAAGTGCCCAGGTATGCAGCATAACATGGGGCAAATGAAATGAAGTATGTGCAATAATCATTGAGAAACAAGGATATCTGATCCATCTCCCCAGTGTTGACTGCTGTAACCTGCTGGTAAACTGTGGGAGAAGGAACTTGCTCCCATACCTGAGAATCAGCTGGCTCTAACTGACAGATTGAAAGAAAGCTTCCCTTTCAGATACATCTAATACTTGCCTTCACTTACCTTCGCCCAACACAGACACACACACACACACACACACATACACACACACAAACATACATACACACACACACACGAGACAGGACCCATCCAATGGATCATCTATTTTCCCATAATTAATATTTGTTTTAAATTCTAGTTTGGGAAGAAAATAGCAGAGCACCCTCCCGGTCTCCAATGCAGAGAAGTTACAGTACATTAAATTTTTATATTGTGTTACTAATGCAGACTAAACCAGAGGCTTTAAAAATTGATGCTGCTACTTAAACAGCATAAAATGAGGAGGATTTGATTGGGCTTAAAAATAAAAATGTCAGCCTCCACTACAGCTGGATGGGGGGTGCGAGTATTATGGAAAGGGATAGGTATAATTCATTAGGCAACAGGTTATTTTGGTGGTTTTGTTTTCTTTTCTTTTAAGAAGGTTATCTCGCTCCAGACAAAGACATTTAAAAGTGTAGAGAAGAATAAAAATCCTCTTTGACTTGCCAACCAAATTATAGCATTCTGCCTATTAAAGTATTGCATACAAGTACATCTTGAAGTTGTATTTTCTTTCTGAATAAATTTATGAAGGGGCCCTGGGATAATGGAATATCTATCTTCTTACTTCATCACCCAGCTCTTCACCAAGCAATTCAGTAAGGGAACCTCAGTCCCCCTCAGATCAGACAGAGTCAAACTTTGTATTTAACAAATTTGTTTTCCTAATACTTGGTCAAAACCAAAACAAACATGTCCAATTGTTATGATTTATCTCTGACTGGGTTGAGGAGGGAGATGGGGCTTCAGGGAGCTGCCCATAAAATAGTCCATAGTAAATCAGATGGCCTGTGATTGCCCAAACCTAGCAAGTCTGGAGGTAGGAACCATTTACTGCAAGAGCAGGCTGAGGGGGGAGAATGAAGGTTTTCCCTCCAATCAGATTTTGGAGGAGAGAAAATGCTGTAAAGAATGGAGTTCTAAATATTTTAAATAAAATAACCATGTTCTTCCCAGAATTTCCTTTGTATATCCTTTCTATTTGCAGTGGGATCCTCAACATCTAGCCCAATACACCTGCAAACACTAGGCAAAAAAAAAAAAGATTCAAAAAACCTTTGTAGAATGGTTGAGCGTGTGGATGAATTTTTTTCTTCTAATTAAAAAAAAAAATGTGCAGGACTCAAAATGGAATATATCGGTCTCTGAAAGGTAGGTGGGAAAATTGTAGGAACCCAAGCAGACGGTGTGCCTTTCTCAAAGTGACCTCGGGATCCTAGGTTGCTCTAGACCCCAGACATCCCAGCGGTGGGGGACTCTCAACTCACAGGTGGGAACCAGAACCAGTCTTTCTAAGCTCCTCCTGACCTAAGAAACACCTTCAAAGAGAAGTGATAGAGAAGCGACTTCATGCAAGGAAAGAAAGCCACTTTGGCACAGGTGCCTAGGTGCAGGGAAATAGCTGGGGAATGGGAGGCTCAGCACTCTGATGGTTCCCGAGCCCAGACTGCGATTTTCCAGGGTTTAGACTCAGTAACTCCACAAGTGGCTCCGCCTGGAAACCACCCCAGTGGGCAAGGCAGGTATCCAGCAGAGCAGGCCTCCAGCAGAGAAGTTCAGGGAAAGTCCTAATCCCCAAAGTCCATCACAAACCCCGCTTGGGCGGCCCATCTCCTTCTGTCCTGCCTAAGGTGGACAGCGAGACTTTCCACTGGGCCCGAGAAACTCCGGCAACACCAGGCATTTGGAACCTTGAATCTTCTGGTTTGCTTTCCTCTCAAAAACTGACCTTAAAAGGGATGAGGGTCCTAGAGAATCTGCCCCAGGCATGTCCACCGGGAGCCTTCGCTCCCGCAAGTTAGTCCGGGAAGCCAGGGAGCCAGGCAGGTTAGCCATCTGTCTAGTCCAGCCCCAAGGAGAAGGTGGCTCTTACCTGCACATCACCTCATGTGTCAGAAGAACTCAGCACATCTCCGGATTCTTATTCTGTCCCTCGTAAGCTATAGGCTGAGAATTGTGCAGGGACAGGAACGGAAGACATGTAGCCAGCTGGATAGAAATACAAACAAAGAGGGGACTTTAGAACAAGAACAAAATTCTCACCCTCTCACTACCTGCTACCCCATTAGCAGTTTCTGCCTACAGGGGAACCTGAGAAGTTACCTGTTACCTCAGCTGAAGAAATAACAAAAGTGTGCCCCATAGTTCTTTGCGAAAAGGAATGTTTGGGGATCTGAATCTCCCAATTGTGTCCTCTCTTTATCCCTTTGCTCTCCTCCCCTTGCCCCCAGCATCTCCAAAACCAGATAGACACAGAACATTGGAGAGAGAGGGGAAAAGAAGTGTTCCCAGAGTGGACAAGGTGGTATGGAAGGAAGTTAGAAGTTTGACCCAAGAAATCATGCAGGAGGGTAGAAGTCAGAGATAAGCTGGGGAGTTGGGGGCCAGAGACAGATGAATAGGAGCCAAGTGGCCCATTGGGCTCACCTGCTTGGTCACTGAGTCGATGAGCCTGACATAGAGGTCCCGCTCTGTGCGGACACCTACAGGAAGGGGGAGACCAGCAGGAATCAAGGACTGCAGAGCCCACTCTCCCACACCCAAACCCTTCCCTGCCCTGGGGTGGAAGCCCAGGCTGAGCTGTCCAGGAGGCAAAGACCTCTAATCCCCAGCCCTAAGCAAACCTCCCACAGCCTTATGCTCCCAAATCTGTCTGCCAGTCATCTAGGCAATGCCTTCCAGGAAAGCTAGATGTGCTAGGTACTCTGCTGGCTACCAGGTGCCAGCCGATAGGATGCTCACCATTGCTGTACAGGAGCTGTAACTTGTAGTGGGTGCCATTGTTGGTCTTTTCATTGCCTTGTTCCTGAAAAGATGGAAGGCATTTGATTCCCAGGTATTTCAGTCCCCCCAAAAGAGGGAAACAGGAAAGAGTGCTTCCTTATACCACCTCCCACCACTTTGAACAACCCTCTTGTCCAGCCCTGGATCAAAGGGCAAGAGCCCCTGCCAACCGCTGACTATCTCCAAGGCTTGCCAAGTGGCAGGGGAGATAACCCAACACCACAGCAAGGCTGTCTTTAGGAAGGCCCCACCAACCCATCTGGTCTATCTGTCCTTAGGAAGCCCTGAGGCTTCTCTCTGCAGAAGGGTGAAGCGACCTGTCATTTAAAAGGGCAGAAATAGGCCCTACTCCCCTGAAACCTCAGCACCAAGGCCCAGAGCTCAGGGACCAACTGATTCCCAGGTTCAAGTGGGAACTTAACTTTATAGTTCAGGTGGCACAGCTGAGGAAACTGAGGCCCAAAGAGGGCAAGAGATCTCCTTCTGGTCACATATCAGTTTAGGTTGACTGCCCTCTATTTGAGATCAAATCCAGTCCCCAAATCCGGACTTGAGTTCAAACAAGGTGCTGCCTTGGGGAGTGGAAGAGAAGGCTTCCGTGCCTGGGAGATGGGTCAAGGCTGGGCTGTGAGTTTCCACCATAGGACTGATTCAACCCACCCTGGTGGACCTGGCAGGTGAAAATAATGAAAATAACCCAGAGGAGGGCAGCGGAAGCCTTGTATACTTTTTAACTATGGTCTAGTCCAAAGGGCTTTCGCTCGGTGGTCATTCTACAATCGCGCGCTACTAAGGACCCCTAGGTTCAGCGCACCCAGCCGCCAGCGCTCTACACCCCGCAGGGTGCAGGAGTAGGGGCAGGAGGAAGTGCAGGGAAATCTACTGATTTAGTGGCTGGAGGTGAGAAGCCTCGATTTATCATCCTTGATGATGCGAGCGGAAAAGTGTCGCAAGTGACAGATGGAATCTTTAGAGCTCTGCAAGGAGTGAGTCATTGGGGGGACGGGGGCAGGGATCCTCTTACTTTGTCGTTCTCCACAAAGTCCACGACCATACGCTCTATCTCCACCGGCTGCCCCTGCCTGTCATAGAGCGCCAGGACTAAATGAAAGAAGCTGGATTTCCTCAAGTTAGAGGGAGGCTGCTTCTCAAAGTGGGCTCCGGACAGGGCGACCCCACTGCGCAGGAAGAGACAGGTGGGACACCAGACAGAGAAAGAGAAAAGACAAGCCGTTACTAATGTGCCCAAGCAACGCCACAGATAGGCAAGGGACCACATCCCAGGTCCAGATTCCTGGACCTGTCAGGTCTTTTATCAATTCCGATTAAGAAGTAAAAATTCCTTAGAGGAGTAGTGGCCATGAGGTCAAAGGCAGTACCATATCTGGGGCTGCTTCCACCGCCCAATGGTCCAACCTCCCAAGATCCCACTACCAGGCTGTTCACTGTTGGGCCTTCAGTGGAAATCAAAGACTTTGGCTGCCACAAGAGGTCCAGACTGCCCCCCACGCCACCCTCAAGGCGGCCCCAGCAGCTGGATCAGATCGCGAAGCTGAGGCCCTGAGGCCCCGGGGGTTAAGGGAACTAAGCATCTTGTTTGCAGCTGAAGAAGTGGCTCCTTTACTTCATCTTTATCCGAATTACCTGCCCTCAGGAGTCAAGGCTGTGGATGAGAACCCTGAAGCGCGGGTAGAAAGCCCAGAGCCCAGGTCTAGTTCCTACAGGCCTCACCCCTCGGCTTCCCTCGCTCTTCCGAAAAGTTGTATCTCAAACAGTCGCACCGCGGAATCCCCTCGACCAGCACTGCGGGTCGCAGATCACTGCGGAGGTCGTGATATTGGACACCTTAGCCCCTTGGGTTACTGCGAGTGGAGAAGCCAGATTGTTAAGAGGCAGAGAGCATACTCCTACTGCTATCCCTTCATCTTTTCTCTTTTAATTTCTTCTCTCCCCGACTCCGTGCATCTGGAACACTCTCTGAGCTGCGACCCTCTTGCCTGTCCCCCCTCCCAGAGCTCCCGGCCGCTTCGCCTTCCCGGGCAGCGGCCGCGTCCTCTCTCCACCTCCGCCGCCGCCAACATCTGGTAGCTGGGCTCCGATTCTCCCGGAACCACCAAGATGCGGGAGAAGAGGCGCTCGCAGGCGGCGTGGGGGAAACCTGGTAGAGGCCAGGAAGTCGTCTCTGCTCTCGCGGTGGTGACAGCAGGCTTCGGTCCTCACGCGCTTGGCAGAAATGGGAGCCGAGATGCGAGGCATTGGATGCTACTTTATTTTTATTTTTTATTTTGTCTCAGAGAGTGGACTGTGGGAAAGGAGTGGGGGAGACGCACAAATGGGCCAGGCAGTTCAGAAACTCCAGTGTTGGCTGCCGGGTAAGTGTCCCCCTGACTGCAGCAACTTGCTCACCGCAGGGAAAGCGCCAGCGTACGGGGCCAGAACGACAGATGGGGGTACGGAGAAAAGGAAAGAGATGCGGAGCAGGGGAGGGGGCACATTGAGAGACACCTAGAGCAAGAGACTTTGAGAGCATAATTGTGCAGTCGTCTCCTTACCTCTGAGCCGCGACATTGGCGTCCACCACACCGACATTCCGGACCCGAGAGACCTGACCGAATCCATCTCCGCGCCCAGCGATTTCTCTTTCAGAGATGGTCCTCTTCCTAAAGTATCTTGAATCCCAAACATTTAAAAAGTCTGATCCTTTACTGTCGCTTTAAAAATGAGTTTACAAAAACACAGTCCTGGCCGTTCTCAACGCTGCAAGCAAACCGTCTCCTCCAACGCAATCCAAGAAAGGGGGATCAAGTGCCGAAGTTTGGGTCTGTCTTGAAAAAAAAAAAAGTCCTTTGCTTCACGAGCGAGGTGCGGAATGATGTAGTCAAAAGTTTGGGTTTTTATCCTCTGCAAGTTCAGATCTGCCGCTTCAGGCCCTCCACCCTAGGTCGCTCGCATCCTTCCAACTGCAGAGCTGCCTCCACAAAGTGGTCACAATTTAGAAGCATCACCTGTTCTGGGAGAAACCGGAGGAGATTGATAGCTGCCTAATCTCTCTGCTTCCTCCAGGTCCTCCCTCCCTGCTCCTCCCCACGGTTCCAATTTAGAAAAAAAAAAAAAAAAATCCCCAACAGGATCAGTTTTAAAGGAAGGGGAAGACCCGGAGCCGAGAGGAGGCGGTGGCTGCAAGAGCCGCTGAGCCGGGCTGCATCCGCGCGCCTGCCCCAAGAATGGGTTACTACAGCCCGGGCCGCCGGAGGCGGAGCCGCGGCCCAATAAGGAGCCTCATTTGCATGGACGCTCGGGATTGGCCGGCGCCGGGCAAGCCAGGCCGACGTCCTCCGGCGGCGCGCACCACGCTCTGCGTTGCCGGGAGTCCGGGAGGTGAAAGGGGACTGAAAGCTGTGGGCACCGAGTCCTCGCCCGAACCCTGAGCGCGTGGCGTGAGCGGGATGGGGGGCCCTCAAACCCTGCACTGACGCAGGAGAGCTGGGTCCTACGGCCTAGGGACGCGCTGGCTCCGCCTGGCCGCGGGAGAGGGGAAACCTCTGTGAATTTGCCTCTAGATGTAGGTTTTTGTAGCCTGCCAGGAGGCATGTTAATTTTCGGGGTTTGGATTTGTGTGCATGTTTGCGAAAAAGCGGAGAGTGTGACCACATGTACTTTTGTTTTGTGCAAACGTTCCCCAGAGCACCCAGCTCCCTGAATGGCTCTCCCAAGTCTCCTGGGATTCCATGGTGACACTCAGATTTTGGGTATGGTTTGCAAGATGTTAGGGGGGGGAAAGGATATTTAATGAAAGTCGGGAGTGGGGTGTGGACGAGAGAGGCTCAAGTGATGTTCAAATAAATAATAACGGGGAAAACGGTAGAGGAGCTAAGAAAAATATACCCGGGCGGGCGCGAACGGGCGTCGCACCCGTGCAGATGAGAAGTTGCTGACAGATTGTGGCAGGCTTAATGCGAGAGCTGCCGGGGTGTATCCCGGGAACCCTCTTCTCTCTCCCTAGTTCCCGAAGCTGCTCGAAGCCTCAGGGGGGCAACCCGGGAGTCACAGAAACTTTGCGTACCGAGCGCGGTGGCCGCGGTGCTGGCCCGCGGGCTAGTGGCCGAGAGGCCGCAGCAGCTCCGCCAAACAGCTGAAACCCTAGAGGCTTTGTAACTACGCCATGCAACTCGCGGTGCCTATTAAAAATCCTCCTGGCTGGGTGTTATTTTCTTGCTTCTCCTTTTGTATTCTGATCTGTGCATAGATCTGCTGCTGAAATCTAGAACACCAGCGCGAAAACAGATTTGAAGACAATGAATGCAAATCTGTGCTCAAAGACCATCTGCGGTGGAGGAGACAATCAGCTGTTCCACAGTTGGAATGACTGCACCCGAGTCTCCCGGCCTCATTAGGCACAGGGCATTTACGAAAGCCTGGATTACATTCAGGAGACTCTCCTCCCCACCCCACACATACTTAGGACTTAGTTTTGCGCATCAATTGACTCCAGACCAGATCCTTTAGGTGTAGGTGAGCGCTCACAAATGAACTGCGAGGGTTTGCCGCTAGAGGACACAGCTCCTCGCAACTCCTTTGCCTGTGAGGATAGGAAGCTTGCACTTTCAGAGAATGAGGCTTTCCTAAGAAAGGGATCGGTGCGCCTCTACATCACCCCTGGGGCAAACTGCAACCCCAGACTGTACAGGCAAGATCGCGCTCTGCTGATCTGTAGTAGAGAAATTCGCTAGAAAATGGACGAATACTCTTCATAGACCCAGGGTCAAAGGACTCAAGCATTGATTTGGGGGAGGAGAGAAAAGGTGAAATACTAGCCTCTGGGTTGTATTGAATGGGGTTCTGAGGCTCCGGGGCTTTAGCTGGCTATTCCCTGTTGGACGAAGAAGAGTGAGAGGAGCCATGAAGGAAGTGTCAGAAAATAGAAGGTGGTAAAAATCCAAGCCAGGAGTTGTTCAGAGAAAGAAGAGGGTAGGTGGGCAAGAAATTTGCAAAGAATGAAATCTACTACCCCTGTTTTCAACTTGGCAATTTTCTGTTACATGCAGCCTCTGTGGATAATTTCAACCCCTGCAAAAAATAACTACCAGAATTTCTACTCCCGCTCGCTCTTTTTGTAAAGTTTTCCACCACCACCCCATTCTCTTCCTTGTTTGGGGTCTGCTCCCAGCAGGGCCAAGCTTTCTCGTTTCTCCGCGGAAAGTGTGGATCAGTCTGTGAGCCCTCCAAAATGTGCGATGAGCCTGGTGATCTTTTTTCCCAAGGAACCGTTTATTGCCTGCACTTCGATGCTGCTAGGGAAAGATGCGGAGAGTACCCCGAGGGGCTGCCAGTCAGCAGTGGGCCAGAGCCTGGCCCGGTCACTCTGCCCCTAAGGCTCAGGTTGGCTTGGGTTAAAGGGCACAGCCAAGGTCGGGAACCCCGACTTTTCTCACCAGTAAACAGCTGCCACCCAAATTATGTCCCTTAGTTATGTCCCTTAGGAAGCGAATGAATTGCTCCTTTCTCCCAGCTCCCTGCTGCAGTCCCCAGATCAGACTTCCGGTGGGGGGGGGGGCTTCCTCCCCCCCCCCCCAGTGACAAGTTCAGGGACCGCAGTGCCCCGCTGGGAGGTAGTTTATGGGAACTGTGGTCCGGAAACTTTGACCTGGTGGGGCACACCGCTCTTGGCCGGTTGCTCTAAGGGAGCCCTCCCGGTGGCTGCTCTAGGTACCGGGAACCGATGGCTGATGTGATGCTAGAGGTCCTGCGGTTGGCTAGTCCAGAATACGGAAATTCTCTTGGGGCAGGACGAAGTTGCCTGGCGAGCGCGGCGGGGGCGGAGTGTCGGGGGTGGGGTGGGGGTTAGCCTGGGGGATTGTTAAGTGCAGCTGGGTGGCGCTTCCCGAGTTGCGTTTAATTATGTTTGTAGGGGTTTGGGGGAGGGGTGGCTGCTGAGTTGGCCACCCGCGCAGAAGGAGTGTGGATTATCACTGGAGTGGGTGGCGTTGGTTGAGCCTGAGAGCTGCGTCTCTTACTGCTGCCTGCGGCTCCCGCCGAATAACCCTCCTTTATCAAACCTGAAACAGGCCGGAGGAAGCCTGGCCCTGCCTCGACGCCGAGCCCGCGCGCGCCTCTCAGCCTTGGGCTGGCGAGCTCCCTTCCGTCTCTGGCCGGGGTCAAGAAAAATCCAAGCTGCGGGATCACGATTCTTCATGACAATCTGTTACGCAAACTTGTAATCCGCCCTTTATCTTGTCCCCTTCTTTGTTCACCTTTCCAAATACACCCCCGGAGTTTTTTCCTTGTCCATGTTTCACATGGGCACCTCAATACGGTGCTTCCGGTCACCACCTAATTGGTTTTAAGACCCATTTTGTCCATTATTGTCCAGTCCGGGCTTCCTGGGAGCAGCGTCTCTGCTCTTCCTCAACGTGCTTTGGAAATTTTCCTTAAAAATTGCTCTGGAGACAGTGTCTCCTCCTGCAGGGCTCTGGAGAGAACTCAGATATGTCGAATTC